ACTTTCTGTCCCCCCCCCCCCCCCCTCTTTGTATGCCCCTTCCAGGACCTTGCAAAAATGCTACGTACTTACATTTTTCTATCTAGCACATGATTGTGTATTCAAAGTCAACATAGCTTCATCTTATTCCCTTAAACTCCTAATGCTAAACACGCGGTCCATGGAAATTTAAGGGCCATGGTCCACCAAAAGGTTTGCTGCAACATGTATTAAAGTGCAATGTGTTAGGGCAGTTCATTCATTATGAATGGACAGCAAACGAAACTCAAAGGACCTTCTTTGCCAATGCATGTTGGAAGCTGCTGTACAATGCATTGGGGTGTCATTGACAATAAATAGCACTGCAATGATAAGTGGCTCTCAGGCTGTGGTGGTGTTCTGAGTAGGAATGGAATTTTTAGACTGAAAAGGAATATAAAAAATGTGTCAGGCCGAAACTGAACCCGAAAATGACATTTGTTTCCAACCTTTTTAAAATGTGTTACATTATTTTATAATTACTTTATTCTTGAGTCCTAAATCTCTTTTTCTGCAGCCCCTGTTATGAATAAACAAGAAGCCTCTATACTGAGTGCTCCTGTCCATTCATAAACTATGGAGATAATATGAGTTACTATGTCCACAATCATGAATGAACAAGAAGTGATATATAGCACTTCCTGTTCATTCATAACTGGGGAAACAGTAAGCATACTATGTCCTCAGTTATTTACAAACATTTAGCAATCAGCACTTGTACTCCACTCTCCATCCTGAATCGCCTGTCATAGGAGGCCGAGCCAGGCGGTGTGGGAGGAGAGCCCAGCCTTTTGTGACAGCTGACAGCTTTTCTCCTCCCCGCACCGCCCCACATCCTGTCAGCTTCTCTCCTCCCCGTTGGGGGCGGGCCCCTGTGGACCCCCTCTGCCTCTGCTTGACACAGGCAGGGGAGAGTAGTGTGGTGGAAAAGTTGGTTATGTTAAAGAATCCATTTTGATATTCGAGACTCCATCTTGCTATACATAAGTCCAAGGTCTGTGGAGATCAATGGTTTTTATCTTTGCAGAAGTTTGCAAAGATATATTTGTGCAGACCCTGCAAAGAGATATCTCATTCTGTGTTTTACAGGCCTTTTCAATGATTTTTTGTTCTGAGCAAACACTCTTGTGGGGGTAGCTGATAAGATATATATTGCCTATCTTTCAAAGCTGTTACAGCATAACTAACACGGGAAAGATGCTGATGCTATGGTTTTAGAGAGCTAACCATTTAAAAGTTGTGATAAATAGTCAAATATTATTGGATAATTTGTATTTCTGTGTCGGCCCAGTGTGGGATGTCACTGGGAGGTATCTCATGAATTATGCTAATGTGACTTTGTTTAAAAGTTGTGTAATTCCTCTTTATGGGAGTAGTACACTGGTTATCATACTGCCCAGCATATCTTGAATAAACCTTAATTATGTCAAGGACACAAATCTCTGTTCCTGGTTTTGCACGAGGTCTGATATTCCTGCTAGGACAGTAGCAGTGATCAGAGGGGACACAGAGGGAGGAGAGAAACTGGGGATGCACTAAATGTTTGGCTGCATTTTCGGCTGTTATTGTACTTTTGGCATTTGGAATGCTGCTGGAATGCACCTAAAGCTAGAGAATAAAGCTGCAATAGTTTGTAGCCTTAGTGTCGATGTGACACACTACTATTCTTATCCATCTAAAATACAATCTGAGCTTTCTCAATAAAATCACCAGTTTTAATGTAGGTCAAGAAAAACAAGCCTTAGCTGAATGTGTTCCTGGTGCTACTAAGTATCCATTCCAATCCAATTGCAGTCAAAATGTAATCTCCTAACAGCTGATTAATAAAGGAGACACATGTTAATGTAGCACAGCGAAAGTTTATTTAACTTAGTATGTTTACTTTGAATACTTGATCGGTGCATATAAAAATGAAAGTTTGCCAAGTGAACCTTCTCTTCTTAGTAAATTGACCTCATTTACTAAAAATGTTTTACTATTGTATTTTTTTGTGATATGAGGCCTAATTTAGTGAAGGTCAGCTAAGATTACTGGTGAAAGTTGTTTGCTCACCCTTTCTTCCAAAAACATACATGCTAGTCTATGTATCTGTGCACATTCATGAGCTTTTTAATGGAAAAACAACAGTCTGATTGCTAAATCTTCTTATGCAAATCCATTTGAATATGCACATTTTCAATTTCAAGAACCAGGAAAATCATTAAGGTCAGCTACCAAATCAAGATATTCCATAAAAAGGTCAGATTTAAATCCACTTGCAAATTGTGAAATTCTTCTTTCATCTGTAGATCAATTTAAAATAACTTTGTGTATGAAATAAAATATGTATGGGGTTGTGAAAATCATGGAGACAGAAAAAAAACTGGAGAAACCTCTTTAAAGTGTGATAGATATATTCTCTATAATTCAAGAGGTCATATAGTTTGTTCAAAAAGATGTATCTGTGCTTACATTATTGCTCAAAAATATTGCTGTTTGGCAACCAATATTAGTGTGTGTTTGGAGAATATATCTGTCTCCACGCAGACATTTTTGGTGTGTCGCAAGGTTTGGGGGTTCCTTTAGACCAGTGGTTCTCAACCTGTGTAACCTCAGGACCCACATTTGTCCTTGGTCATTAAGTCATGGCCCAAGTCGCACTGCACTGGAATGCATGGCATTGCAGTACTGCATGGGTGGGAGGTGCGTTTGGGTGCCATTCAAATGAATAGCAATGCAACACACCTCCCACATTACAATGGAACTGTGCGATTAACACACTGTACTAGTGTGAATGGGCCCTCCAAAACACTTACAGAAACCGACAGCCATAGACACAATCTTACACACTCACAGATATTCTCAGATACAACATACATACACACTCCAAAAAAATGTATTTATTTTTTTAAGATCCTTGCAGTCTCCCAATCTTACGAGAACTGGAGTGGATACTCAGCCTGGGGTTCAGTTTGGGCTGTTGTGCTGTGATGAAGCTCCATTCATATGTGCATTGCTGGTACAGCGCCCTTGCATGCCGTGTAGAGGTCCCGGGAGCCAGAACATGACGTCACTCTGGTCCAGGCATCTCTACAGGACATGTGAGGGAACTGTAGGCAATGCACATATGAATAGAGCTCCCTCGCGGCCATAGCCCCATCCCATCCCAACCCCACCTCAAGCTGACACTCTGCACCGGGCAGGATATTTTGAATAGCTGCTTTACGTGAGAACTGACAGTGCTGCCCTAGGGGGAGGCTGAGGAGCCTCTCACCAAGAAAAGTGGAAAACAAGTGGTGACCCACTGAACATGGGGTCGCAACCCACTTTTCGGTCACGACCCACCAGTTGAGAACCAAGGCTTTAGGCCTCATTGGAAACAAGAATGTTGCAGTCTTAGTTTTATAGGAATTTGGGTTTAACAAAAATCCCATGGCAAGGCTCTCTTATCAATGTAAGTTTCGGAAAGTAGAAAGTTTATGATGAAGTGATATCTGCATCAAATACACTTTCAATGTGTTTTGTAGCCGCCAAGACTACTTCATCAGGTATGGTTCATCAAAGCTTATCTACATTCCTTTATGTTCAGTGGAGAGAAGTACACTTCTCTCAGACAAACAGAAAGGAAT